CTTGGTATACATTTTGAAATGTACTTAATTCATTAATTTTGATTTGGAATTGAAACACGGTCAGGAAAGTATACACAATTAAAAATAATGTGCTTAATTTAAAAAATAAACAAAATTAGAAAGAAAAATACACTTTATTGTATGCACCTCCTAAGGTATAACTCCTTAAATCTAAAAAGAATACCGTGAACTTTCAATCAACCGTATAAAGTACAATCAATGCCTTATTTATGTTGGTTCTCTCATCATCTCATTCTCTTATAAAACTGGTGACAAATGATAAAAAAAGCGTCTGATAAAACTGATCTTATGGATGTTTTTCAACTTTTATTTTCAAAGTAGTGGATTCCGTCGTTTGGGTTAAACTCCGTTGATGGTTTTGCATATTTGCAGCATTGGGAATTGCAGGGGGAAATTGTAGGATGTTTGATGGTGCTTTTCGCTTTGCAGCATCTGAACTATCGACCGAATGCCCTTCTGCATTTCTCGTTGGGTTCATAGGAATGGAAAATTGCTTATCGCCATTATCAAGAAACGGTTTTTGACCATTATCTGATTGATGGGCGACAAATTGTAGCATGGCTGATTGTGCTTTTCGCTTTGCAGCCTTGGTACGTTTCCGCTTAATACGCCCAGGTGGTAAAGTACCCGATGTGGATGCCTGAGGATCGGTCTTTAATGCCATGTTATTCATCGCTGAATTACCATTCCCATTGCGGGTGATCGTCGGTGTGTGAGATTGGGATGGAGGCTTTGGAGTTGATGTACTCTGAGCGTTCGTATTACTCACTGGTGCGTTGTTTTGAACATTGTGTTTTATCGGTTGAGTGTCCATAGTTGGCAATGAGGTGTTGACTTTAATCTGCGGTTTTCTGATCCATTCAGCCAGGCAATTTCCAAACAGCATGTCATCGTATGGAAGCGCCCGCATTTGTCCCGATCTCAATCCTACTTTGGCCAGAGGCGTAAGCAACCTTCGCCGATGTACCGATATGGAGTGGAAAACATCCGAAAATATTTTGATCGGATCGCTAATAGTGGCCAGTTCCTCCCTCGCCACCTCGCTTCGATCCAGTCTGCTTCTTTCGTACTGCTGATCCAATGGCACTGCCAGCGCACTTATACCTGCGGCTAGTTGCAACTGCACTTTCCGGAGGAATTCGTCTTTGTTCAAAGCGATTTGATGTGATTCGATCAAGTTCGTTTTAATTTCCGGATTAACTTGGGGCGGATTCAATGCGGAACAATTGCCTAAAAGTGGGTACGACGCTAAGGCAAATTGGCGCGAGTCGTAACTCCTGCCCTTATGCAGGACAGTAGATAGAAGGTCTGATATGTCAGGGTGCACGTTATAGCCCTGATTGGGACCAGTCAAAGGGCTCACAGGTGTCGTATTCAGATTTACCACCGGGACGCCAGAACATTCATCACTTGAATCGTCTGATTCATCTGGAAGGATCACATAAGAGTATTTTTTTAAAGATATTAAAACATTTATTAAGAGAAATGGTGTGGAATGTTAAAGTGCATTCACTTATGCAATTACATCGATCTACGGTGAAAAGGCGGTTTGTATATTTCGGTCATTTTACTCAAACTCGATGAGTGTTTTTTGGCTTAATTTATGAACGATCGAGAAATTTTTTTCGCTGAAAGTGCTTAATTTGAAGTGTTCTTTAAGGTAAAAGAGAAAAAAAAGTAGAAATTCGGAGGGTTCGAATTCGAAGACAGAGATTCGAGAAATTCGATTCAACCGCTTTGTCCATAAAATGTATTTCAGATTTTCGGTCGCAATAAAGCACATCTCGATTTGACTACTTACTTGAGCTGCCTAATAAGTCAAGCAACTTCTGCACTAATCTCCTTCGTTTTTCGGAATCTTTTTTCCGTTGTTTGACCATTTTAAATGAAAGAAACTTAATTTTTTTGGCAGTGGAGCTGACAAGTATGAATTTTGTTAGTGCAAGTGAGGTTAGGTACGCACAGAAATATTGTACCTGTACATAACCAAACTGGCAACGGTGTATCGTTAATACTTTTTAAAGTGAGCCACGCCCAAGGTTCCTAAAGTATACTCTAGGAACGCCGGTTTGCCTCGCATCGGGTTGGTTTTAAAAGAAATGTACGCACTAATTTTCTGAATT